TGCCCTTTTTTTTTTTTTTTTTTTTTTCTTGGTGTTCTTCACCTTTTTGAACAATTGGGCTTCGAGAGAGAAGACGTAATCCATTTGGGAAATTCACTCGCTTTTCCAATTTATAATATATATTTATTTATTAAATTAAATTAAATTAAATACAATAATTCTGGTGTTATTCTTACATGTTTGTTGTCTTGTGAACTTTTTTTTTCCTATTCGAAAATATATTTTAGTTAATAAAAACAATATCGCTTCGAATTGTCGTTAACAAAAGGTGTGGATACGAATTAGATTTGAGATCAAATCTAATCGTATAATAAATTTCTGTCATGTCGGAAAAAAAAATGATTCGACAAAAAATAAATAAACAAAAGAAATAGTTAAGGATTCCATGCGAATTTGGAATGAGTGAATAATTATTAGGAATTTGAGAAAATATGGTTTATATTCAAAATCAATAATGGGTTACAATTATGGTTGCACATATTGTATCATAGAACAAATTGTCTATTAGATTGTTAAAAAAAAAGGAATATCTATATTATTCCGTTTTTATGTTCCATCAAGATTCTATTTTTCTTTTTAAGATTTAAAAAAAATATATGGATATTTATTTTTGTGATTCAGATCGATTAATTTAATTTTTAAGAGAATATCCCAAAATAATACCTAAATTTTTCAATTTTTACAAAATAAAACCTAAATTTTGTTTTTATCAAATAAAATTTCAACTTCATTTTTCAGTCAAAAATAAATCTGAACTTTATAATCTTTGTCATTTTTAACCTTATTGTTGACGTGATGTTCCGACATTCTATGTGGCAAGTCAACACTTTGACCGTATTTGACACATTATCGTACATATATCATGTTAGCAATAGGGTTAAAAATGACAAAGATTATAAAATTCGGATTTATTTATTATTGAAAAATAAAGTTGGAGTTTTATTTGATAAAAAATAAAATTTAAGTTTTATTTTATGAAAATTGAAATATTATTTTGGGATTTTCTCAATTTTTAAAAATAAAGATTATAATTTCCATTTCACGCCTTCACAGTTTGACAAATGGCAACACAAGTTCGGTTGAAAACCCATAATCACAATTTTAAAATGGGCTCACCTAATATTACTAAGCCCATAAATAAATGGACTTGAATTTAAAAATGAAAATAAATAACATTAATAGGCCGAGGAGTTGAAAAGTCTCGAATCCATTTGGACCATCTGCCTCGGCCTCATGGATCATGCCTATTATCGATGGCATTTTATAAAAATAAAAAATAAAAAATAAAAACCTTTTTTTACACATTTATATCCAATTAAACAAATGAATATTATAGTAAGTGTTATTAACAAATTAATAATGTCTTGATTGAACCTCTGAATATATATATATATATATATATGTGATAGTTTAGCATTTAATTGGATATACGGAATTGCATGACAAATAATTTTTTTGTACGTTATGAAAAAATAATGGATAAAAAGTGCATGATTCAAAGTATGAAATGATAAAATCTATTAAGAATTTAGATCCATATTCTCACAATGATGAATGGTGTACATATTCATACACATATACAATTTTATATATATATATACGGACCTATACAGAAATGGGTGAAGTCCCATGCCCCATCCATTTAATTAAAAAAAGAATAGTTTATTTATAAATTCTATAAATTTTAATCAAAAATGTAAAATGCCCCATAATATTTACATATTTTTTTATAAAATGACATCATAATGTTTTCATTTTGTTTTGCCCCAGATAACAAAATCGCAATGAGGGATGACTTATTTGGTTAATAATTGAATAACCAAATCAATCCATACCGAATAACATACAACTGAACTCAAATATGAACCGAATCAAATTAGATATAAAATCGAATGGTTATAATTTTTTTAAAACCGAAAAAATCGATTCAAGTAAAAAAAAATAATCGAAAAATCGTAAATTTATTACAGAAAATAAATATCTTTTTATCATAAACGAATCGAACTCAAACCGAATTTAATACAAAACCGAATAGTTATGATTTTTTTCAAAACCGAAATAACGGAACATAAACTCAAATAAGCTGAAAATAAAAACAATAGCCCAACTTTGATTATGACTATTGTTGGGTAGGTATTGGCCGTTGGTAGTTTACTTGTGGTGGGTCCATCACCATAACATATTCTCTTGATTATGTTATTCCATCGAAACAAATATATATATATATATTTGGTAAATAAGATATATTGTATCTTTCTTTTATTTATTCTAACAAAAAAAATTATGGCGTTATATAAATTGATTCATATAAAATTTACCAAATATTCAAAACAAAACAAAATAAAAAATCAATAAAAGGGTCTTGAAAGGATCTGTTCAAAGATCGTCCCATGTGCCAATAGTATCCAACCCAAGAATTCCTTCGAATAAATGCATGTATATATACGTTCGGATTTGTACATTTGTATATGATTTTTTTATTATTATCTTATAGTATTTATAATGGATACAGAAATAAAATCTCTCAAATGATAAGTTGCAATCATATAAGTTGGTATGATTTTAATTTATTATGCCGATTTTAGTCGTTATCGGTATATGGTGCAGTCCATGTGGCTCCTAACAAAAATCGATCATTGATTTTGTTGTGTTTTAGGGCTGACCATGTGCCGATATTCGGTGATCAATGTATGGTGCATACATACATACATACATGCACACATACATACATACATACATACATACATATATACATACATATATGCATGCATGCATGTATATATATATATATATTTTTTTTTATAATCGGGTGATCCCAAGCCCAAAAGCCCAGACTAATCCCGACCCACGCGCACGACCCTGCAACACACACGTGGGATGTGAAACACCCGAAGGTGGTAAGAGGGGAATCTCCATACTCTGGGTGTTGAACTCACGACCTCGTTTACAGGAAAGGGGCTCTCAAACCAACAGAGTTAGGCACGGATGGTGGCCAGTTCGTAATATCAAAAAAAAAAGTCCATGTCATGAGCCATTATATAATTGGGTGATGCTTACAAGTAAACCTTTTTGAAAGAAAAAAACATAGTACGATTTGTCTTCCGATTGATGACCGAAGCCACTTGTTGGTTTTGTCGTATTCGAACCAATGAGATTATTCTTGAAATTAAATCCATTTTTGTCCAACAAGATTTTCATTGACTCCCAACAAGTGGGTGACCAACCTTTTTTCCTTACTCTTTCTATATATATATATATATGGGCAGACCTAGATAAATATTTAAGAGAGGCACAATTTAATTTCAATATTTATATGGAGGCATTTAGCTAATGTATTTAAAATTTTAAAATATTTATAAAGAAAATTATCATATTTTTATTTGATCAATGGGGGCATGTGCCCCACTCTTGTTAACTTGGGTCTGCCCATGTATATATACATACAGTGATGGACCTAGAAAAATATATAATGAACTTTGATACAAATTTAATTTTACTATGTGGGCATATAGCAATTTAATTTATTTTTTAAAAAAAATAATTAAATGAATGGGGGCATGTGACCCATTGATCACCATATGGGTCCCGTCCATGTATATATTGCTCTTTGTAGATATACCATAAATTTTTTGTTCAAATAAACTTATGGACGTGAAACACTAGCATGCATTTGGTAGACTTGGCCTTGTTATAGCCTATAGACAAAATATTATTTAATTAATCTACATGAATCATTGGTTTTATAGTATGTCGACGGTCTAAATATAATATTGAAAAGACCCGCAGATCGTTAGAAAAGGGACAAATAATGCCACAGGACTTCTGTTAAACTTTTAAAAATCGACACAAAATCTAATGATCTGATTGGCCTACATATAAATTATATATATATATATACATATATAAACTTTTGGAATGTATATCAATATCAACGCCGCTCCGAATTTTGCATGGAATAATAATGGAATGAATAAGTCTACTAAAACCCATTGTAGTTATACACAAATACTAGCCAAAGCATATATATGACAGCAATATATATATATATATATATATATATAACATGATGCATATATATGAGAAATTTGAAGCAATATGTATTTATTTATTACTATAATAGTGAATATATAAAATTATATATTGGTGGCGAGTCGTTTTTATAATGTTACGACTAAGATATATACGTACATGCGAGCACTGATAGAGACCAACTTTTCAAAGCTGCTTTCAAGTTCCGAGCAAATTGGTCTGATCACACATTGCCATCACTAAAGCAAAAAAAAAAAAAAGGATTTATCATGTTCTTCTCAGAGTGATTTGATTTGTCATATTGCATATTATACATCTATATACATATATATATATATGTGTATGTGATATATATATATATATATATATATATGTAGAGAGAGAGAGAGATTTTGTTCTTATTGGAGATATTTTCTTATAACTATTTTCGAGATATTTTGTCCTAAATAAATAAGTTTTCAAATTTTGTTGAATGCTTCGTTAAAATATTTTACGTATTACTTTTACATCAATATTTTACATAAATATATTAATCTTATGGGTTGTCATAATTACAGATATAAAAAAGAATTTTTATATTTTTTTTAAAAGAGAGAAAAAAAAAGGGTTGGCTATATAAGAAAGGGAAGGGTCGGGAATCTATAGCAAGTGGGAAAACTTACTTTTCTAATTTCCAAATTTGAATAAAGTTTTAGGGTTCGATTATAGAAAAGTTAGGTTTTCATGCAAAATCGGAAGATTACCTCTTCCGAACCAAACATTTTGTATTTGTCCTTATATATATATATATATTTATGTATTCTACTCTTAACATTATTTGTGTCCACAGCCTTATGTGTATCAATCAATCATTTCCTGCTTTTTGCACCCACATATCAACTTGCACCACTAGGGTTCTACACGTATATACAACCACTCGTACAATTATATATATATATATATATATATATATATATTGGTGTCAAAACGAGTTCAATTCGCGAGTTAGACTCGTTACCAGTTCATTTTGTAAGCGATTTGAATCAATTTTTTTAAAAAAAATTTGGAAATGAATCACCTCGTCACAACTCATGGCACATCACCCAACAGATCGTGGGCGGATAGTCAAGTTTGGGGTAGGAGGTAACTCCACCTTGAGATTGAGTGTTCGATTCCTGGCTGGTGGGGAGGGAGGTAATTTCTGGGTTTATATGGTCCATATACAAATACTACTCCCAGACCGGAGGTTTACCTAGTGAGCGCGTCCGAAGGATAGCATCTAGGGGTCTTCCATTATCAAAAAAAAAAAAACTCATGGCATATCGAACTAGCTTGCCATGTTTGCGAGATGAAGTGTTTTTTTTTATAAAAAATAATAGTTTTTTTTTATTTTTTTTATATATTTTATAAAAAAATTTAATATTTAATTTATTTTATTTTTTATTGATCATATGTAATTTCTTTTATTTATTTAAATTTGATATTTTCAATTTTAAATTTTATATTAAAACATCATTTCATTCTATATTTTCATACCATAAACAAAAATTATAATATTCTTTCTATATTCGCGAGACGAATCGTTTAACTCGAAAAATTAGTGAATCGAGTTGAACCAATGTTTTTTGCCTCATTTTAAAACGAACCCAGTGAATTAAACTCAAAATGAGCTGAGTTGGCTTATTTGACACCTATGTATATATATATATATATGTACACTTGTGATATATATAAGCTCGAATGTCAGGCAATGAAACAAGTTATAGCCGACCATGTCTTGTACATGACATGGGCGATGATGTGTATCATGTGGACATGGTTGGTTTCTACTTTTTCCAATATGCTCATATTGTCCAACAAATATTATTATTATTAAGTTTTTTTATATCTTATTGAAAATTTATATTCTATATTTAAATTTATTCCGTTATCCATGGCAATAATAATAAAATAATTATTTTACATGATATACATAAATTCAAATTTTAAATATTTTTTAATAATTAAACCTTTTTCCGTATACAATATATTTTCATAATATTTTAAAAGAATTTTATGAGGACAACACAATTCTGAAAAGATTTTTAGGTTCTGAAAAATTTTTATAGGGTTGGATGTAACCGTGCTTGTTGGATGCAATGAAAACGAATATTTATGAAAAATAAAAATAAAAAACATTTGTACTGAATTTACACATTTTATTTTACAATTAAAGCATTTGCTAATGGTTAGCATTTAAGATTGTAACCATGATTGACCGTAATTTTGTATATAAAACACTTCATTTTTAAATCATCATCCATTCTCGGCGTATAGTTTTTAATTTTAGATATGGAATGTTTGTATCTATTTTGTTATATTTTTTGTTACATTTGCATACACCAAAACTATAAAAGATTTCATGAATTGTAAAAGGAGGTGGTTGACCAATATATAATACATAATTCTATTGTTATAACCACTAGCACTAATGAAAAATTATACAATTTGAACATCCATCGTTTCTCTTTCTAACAAGTTTTTTTCCTTAGTAAACGTTTTCACTCCTTGAAAATTATTATTTTTTATTATCGTGGGTACTCACTTGCTACATTCGGATGCACTGGAAATCCGCGACATACACATAAAAGATAAATCAAGTGTAACTGATGAACGACAGATGAATGGATAAAGAGTCGAACCCACAATCTCTCGGACGAAGTTTTTGACAACGGTTTCTCCCTTCTTAAAAATTATTTATAAAGGGTTATAGAAAATAAAGGAAAAAAAAAACAGAGAGGAGGCAAGAATCTAAAAGTAGGACAAAATGTGTTGGTACAAGACAATAACATTAATCACACAAAAACATATCTTCTTATAATCAACATCTTGATTATGTCTCTACGTTCCCTTGCTCCAACATGGACAGTCCAATCTGTTATATATATGTATGTATGTATGTATGTATGTATGTATGTATGTATGTATGTATGTATGTATGTATGTATGTATGTATGTATGTATGTATGTATGTATGTATGTATGTATGTATGTATGTATGTATGTATGTGTGTATGTGGTTTGATTATTCATTCACTCATATTAGTAATAAATTTAAATTTTTTGATGAAAAGAAAAAGAGCAAAAATAGAAATTGATAAGGATATAGAAAGATATTTTTATTTACTTACTTTTATAATTTAAATATAAAATAAATCATTTTACAAAATTTGATGATCAACGGCCTTGTGATGTGTGTGTATTAAAATCATTTTGCAAAAATAGAAATACACACACATTAAAGAACAACATACATTCACCACTGTATATATGCGATGTGTGTGTATTTTTTTTTCTTTTAATCTGTTGGTGTTCTTTAATTTTTTTTTTGGCATATATATATATATGTGTGTGTGTGTGTGATAAAAATAATTAAGAAAAATGAATTTCAAATTAATAAATACATAATCTCGAAATAATTCTGAGAATTTCCATGAAAAAAAAAAGTTTTTTTAGAAGTTCATATGAATTTTCTTTAATGACTTGAGGTTTGGAGGAGAAAAAAAAAACAAAAAACAAAAAAAAAAAAGACAAAAAGAAGTCCAAAGACAAAATTAGTCATATACGCAATGGACCGAAAGTTTGCACTTTCTCTGCTACGGCCCACATATATTTTCTTACAACCAAAAAAAAAATATAACGTTATAATCGTTGTTTTATTATTTAGACTATAAAATAATATAATAAGTGTAAAACATCGGTGAATATCGAATGTAAATCATTATCCATAGTAATTTTTTTGTACAATCACATATGATTACATCGAATTCTAGTCTAATTTCGAAATTAAACATATGATACATTATAAAATATCATCTATATCATTATAACAATAATTAAATTAATAAAATATCATATGAACTGCCTCTCATGTAATGCATGATATCACTCGCCACTACGAGTGTCCAAACTCTATTTATACTCTCTCTCTCTCTCTCTCTCTCTCTCTCTCTCTCTCTCTCTCTCCAAAAATCTCTCCCTCTCTCTCTTTTCCCTCCAAATCTCTCTTTCTCTCTATGGCTTCTCCCCCGTATCTCATGGCACCCGCCGGAGCAAAACTCAACCTCGCCGCCTCTCCGCCAGATTCCGCCGTATCCCTCGCCAACACGAAACCCAGACGCCGGAAACAGACACAGACGCGCTGTGCCTTAAACTCCCCGACGTTAATCCAATTCCCAAAACAACCCTACCCAAATCCCATAATTACGGAAAAGCCACCGCCGTCTTCTTCCTCTTCCTCTTCCTCGTACCCTCCTCACTGGAACCTCCTCCAACGCGCCGCCGCCACGGCCCTCGACCTCGCCCAGAGCGCGTTGCTCTCACGCGAGCGGTCTAAGCCAATCCCAAAGACCGTCGACCCACGTCACCAGATCGCCGGAAACTACGCTCCGGTACCGGAACAATCCCTCCGGCGATCTCTCCCCGTCTCTGGAGTCATCCCCGACTGCATCGACGGCTTCTACCTCCGTAACGGCGCAAACCCATTGCTCGAGCCTGTCTCCGGTCACCACCTCTTCGATGGAGACGGCATGGTTCACGCCGTTAAAATATCCGGCGGCGAAGCAAGCTATTCCTGCCGGTTTACCCGAACCGAGAGATTGGTTCAGGAGAAGGAATTGGGCTGTCCGGTTTTTCCGAAAGCGATCGGAGAGCTTCACGGACATTCTGGGATCGCGAGGCTGATGCTGTTTTACGCACGTGGGTTATTCGGTCTCCTGAACCACCAGAACGGGATGGGAGTTGCCAATGCTGGGCTGGTCTACTTCCATGACCGGTTATTAGCCATGTCCGAAGACGACCTTCCTTACCAAGTTCGTGTCACCGTCAATGGCGATCTGGAAACCGTCGGGAGATACGATTTCGACGGCCAGTTGAAATCCGCCATGATCGCGCACCCGAAGATCGACCCAGAAACAAAAGAGCTCTTCGCTCTTAGTTACGATGTTGTCAAGAAGCCGTACTTGAAGTACTTCAGATTCTCGCCGGAGGGTGAGAAATCGCCGGACGTCGAAATCCCGCTGGCGAGTCCGACAATGATGCATGACTTCGCCATTACAGAGAATTTTGTCGTGATTCCCGACCATCAAGTCGTATTCAAGATCGGGGACATGGTTCTCGGCAAATCTCCGGTGAGTTACGACAAAGAGAAGATTTCCCGGTTTGGGATTTTGCCGAAAAACGCCGAAGACGCGTCGGGGATAATCTGGATTGAGTCGCCGGAAACTTTCTGTTTCCATCTCTGGAACGCTTGGGAGTCACCGGAGACGGACGAGGTTGTCGTGATCGGATCATGCATGACTCCGGCGGATTCAATCTTCAACGATTCCGACGAGAATCTGAGCAGTGTCTTGTCGGAGATCCGGTTAAATCTCAAAACCGGGAAATCTACTCGCCGACCAGTGATTCCCGGTTCCAATCAGATGAATCTCGAGGCCGGTATGGTTAACCGGAACCGGTTAGGGAGAAAAACCCGGTTTGCGTACCTTGCAATCACCGAACCTTGGCCCAGAGTCTCCGGCTTTGCGAAGGTGGATCTTCTTACCGGAGAATCGAAAAATTACTTTTACGGCGGTAAAAAGTACGGCGGCGAACCGTATTTTGTACCGAGAGGGTTAGATTCCGACGGAGAAGACGACGGTTACATTTTGTCGTTTGTTCACGACGAGAAGACGTGGAAATCCGAACTTCAGATCATTAACGCCGTTAACTTGGAGCGCGCCGCCACCGTTAAATTGCCGTCAAGAGTGCCGTACGGTTTTCACGGCACGTTTGTGAATTCGTCTGACATAGTCAATCAAGCTTAGTCCGCTAGTTAATTTTTTTTTTTAACTGCGGGTGCGCAGTTTTTTTTTTTTTTAATTTTATATCTTTTAAAATATAATTTTGTAATTTCCAATTATATTTTTTTTCTGGTTTGTCCCAGCTTGAAGCTGATGTAAATATATCGCCAAGCTCAGCTGGTTTCTGCTATATTTTTTTTTTTTGTTTTATAAATAATTTTCTTGTTCAAATTAATCTCAGTAATTTAATCTGATTAGCTATTGATATTATAAACATTATAACTATTACAAATTTAAGTACACAATCACTTTAACCAAAAAAATAAATTCATAATGTACACACTACAAAAAAACCTGCATATAGCGACGGAAATTTCCGTCGCACAGAAAATTGCGACGGAATGTGACGATTTTACGACAAAATGTGAAAAAAAATTATCCGTCGCAAACAATCGCAAAATCCGTCGCAATTTGCTACGGTTTGCGACGGATAATTCTGTCATAACAAAGAAATAGATGATTTGCGACGGAAAATAAAAATTGCGTCGGATTGCGACGGAATATTCCGTCGCTATATAACTGTTTTTTTGTAGTGACAGTTTCCTAGCTATTTTGATATTTCTAATTTTTGTTCATAAAATTTTAAAATATTATGATTACTAAAAATCAATATTAACCATAACTTAGGAATAACAATAATAATAATAGTGCCCACAAAATTGGGATGATTATAAAAAAAATTATAATTGGTGGACAGTGACAGTTACTTGCATAGGTCGTTGTTGATTTTTGTAGCATCTGAAAGACAAACGCATTGAAAAAGAGACGCATAACACTTTGAGTGGGGCACCATAATATTTTATATATATATATTTTCTACACTTGTATATATATTTATATATATCGTATATCAACATGAGGACATCAAGCATTAGACGAAAGTAAATATTAGTAATTTAAATTAGTTACTGTAAGAATTATTCTCGTGCATTTCCTGTTAATGTATATAAATGACGTTTTGATATTTTCTATTTACTTTTTGATATATTTTTTTTAAAATTATCCTTCATTATTAATAATAGGTAATTATTGTATTGTATGAGAGAAAAAATAAAGACATCATAATTAAAAAGAGGTATTTTAGACAAAATTTTATTTTTCTTAATTTATTGTTGAAAACTAATGAAGTATTTAAAAAACATATATTTAAAAGAAAATACAGATATGTAAACCTAATTAAAACAACTTAAGTCGCAATTAATTTGTTCGATTCCTTACCACACACATATATATATATATATATATAATGATTGATCTAGAAAAACAATTGATTTGAGATTCACGAACAAATATTTTTTATAAGTTTCATATTTAAAAAAAAAAAGAGTTTTTAGAATTTGATGGGACAAAAATATCTCATATATATATACACACACACGTATATACACATATATACTATTAAAGGATTACAAACAAAAAACATTAATGGGCATGATAATCTTGTATGTCGATATGTGCCGACCATTTCTTTTTTCTAAGGTCCAAACTCTCATCGGTTACGTTTTAATTGAGAGTACAAAAATTTCGTTTGTTGGTCCAAACATTGTCCCAATTTACTATAGATGCACCTTACCCACATATAGCAACGTTCTTTTTTTTTACTTATTATTATTATTATTATTATTATTATCCTTCGTGGGTTCCTCTTGATTTGAAAAAAAAAACTAAGCAAATATTAAATATATAGATATATTCGGTCTATATTATTCAATTCACCAAATTATATAAATATATATATATATAGAGAGTATTTTCTCATTAAAAAAATAGAAATTGGTCCTATTAAAATACTAACACTAATCTTATTATAAAAATAATTTTATAATAGATAATTTTAACTTTCTGTAATTCTTAATATATAGGTATATCGTGATAAGATTTACTAAAAATGAAATGAAAATAAAATACTAGTGAAGACAGATATTTAAGATATTTTTTTTTTGTTTAGAGAATTATTAACTTTGTAAACGGATAGACGGGTTCCCGAGGCCAAGGAGAACGGAATTCGGAATAAGACGAACAAATGAGTAAAAGAAGAACCTCGAATTCAATTCCGATTGGTCCGACCAAGATGATCACGTGAAATCCACGTGGAAATATGATAACTTCAATCAATTAAAAATCATCTTATTAATAAATGCATTACGTACGTAAGCCATGCAGAGCTCACGCCTATCTTTATCTTATACATTTATAACATACACCAATATATATATATATATATATATATATATATATATATGAATGTAAATTGTCGTATACAACCATTATATAAGTTATATTAAAAAAAATATGGACACTTTTGAGTTTATACACGTAGTTCAAGTTCCTGAATTTATAACACTTCTTAAAAAAAAAAATCACGTCCCCTTAATTATCTACTAACCAATTCAATACATAAATCATCGTCTCCTTATAAAATTCTCATCATAATTAATCAAAGGCTCGATTTAGATTACAAAGGCAAAAAAAAAACGTACACGTGCATGCCTCATGCATGGACTACGTACACGTACATAACCAACTCCATGTAGTTCTTCGGTCTTCCGATACGTGTTAGGACACGTGTCAGCTTCTCGTCCTATTTCCCTCGAACATTGGCTAGGGGATTCTAGACTGTACCTATATATATATATATATAGGCGGATATATATTTAATGGGTAAAACCCCTAAAAAACCTTCAACTTGTAAAAATATATACAAATAAACCTTTAACTTGAAAAACTGTCATTCAATCCTTAGAACTTGTAACTTGTCACTAAATAAAACATCGAACTTACAAATTATTGCTCTAATAAATCTTTGACCGGTTTGACTATAATTTCAAACGATCGGAAATCCACGTATTGTCAGATTGTTGATGTCATTTTTTAAATTAAAATTGATAACATGTATAAGGTGATATCAACAATCCGTTAATACGTAGATTTTTGATCGCCTGAAATTGTTGTCAAACCGGTCAAAAGTTTATTAGAGCAATAATTTGCAAGTTCGAAGTTTTATTCAGTGACAAGTTACAAGTTCGGTGATTGAATTATAGTTTTTCAAATTGAAGATTTATTTGTATATATTTTTACTTGGAGTTTTTTTAAGGATTTTACCCATATTTAATATATGCAGATGATGGCAATGCTTTTGCCGTTCGCTTGGCTCTGGTTGCCGCGCAATGTTATTTATTTCAGTTGTTGGATTAATAGAAATCTTTGTTCGTATATTTCGAGAGGAAACGGGACATGGGCATTGTCAAAAATCTGATGTCCGTATTTACACGTGTCATCAAGATGAGTTGCCACGCATTCATGAACAAACTATGAGGTATATACGGTTCCAGCATTCTAGGAACTTGGAGTTTCTCCCGATCACAAAGGAATACATAGTAGAATACGTAGTAGGGTTCACGGTTGGAGATTTTAGCGGTTTGATTCGGAAACGGTTTATTCGGTATTATAAAATTTATACCAAATCAGTACTATATATTATTTGGTTCGGTTCGGTTCCAATTTCGATACAGTTCGGTTTCGATTTTTGTTAAAAAAAATTAAGATTTACTTAAGAAAATTTCGGTTTTTCGAAAATTTTAAAAATTCGGTTCGGTTCTGAGAATTTCAATTCTATAAAAAAAAGATAGCGTTCGAAAATTTTGAATTGTATGATTAAAAAAATACCAAAATTTTTCAGTTCTGTTCTAAATAACCGAATCGAAACGTCAACCCTAATACAGTCTAAATTTAGATGATTAAATGGTAAGATAAAATACAAATTATATTTTTATCTTAGATTTAAATCAAAACATTAAAAAAGATATTTATCCAAATTTCTTCGATCCTCTAAAAGATTGTTATTTCAAACTCCGGGTGAATTTCTGAATTATTAAAAAAATTATCCAACGGGAAAAGAAAATGATACAAAATATTTTACGGGTTTGGCCCTTGCGAAACGGTCGGGGTGCTGCTCAGTCTTCTGTGGCATGGAAGAGACATGACAGCAAAACATCATTTGGATTTTGATTTCATGAATGTGCTCTATCATACGTGTAGCTTTTAAGGTCATACATATAATATATATATATATATATATATATATATATATACACACTCTCATTTCCTATACGTACAGAACGTGTATATATATATATATATACACGCACATTGACAAATGTATACATATAATATACATGTTGAGTTGGTTATTTATGTGGCGAACTGGTTGTGTTATTTAACTTATTTATTAGTACGCTGAATTTCATTTCCCAAATTTAAAAACTATTTCTTTCCCATTAACAAGCAATTTTTATTATTATTTTTAACTCGACGAATGGTTGTGTTTTGTCCCAGGATAAATATTTCAATTTAAATATATAAAATTAAATCGAATCATAATTAATTATTTATAATATAAATTAAACTCGAATTTTTATTGGATTTAAATTACATAAATTGAATTAAAACCATATCCTATTAAATTATAATAATAAATCAAAGAAACAAATAAAAATTATAATTTTTATACGATAATTTTTTAAATAAAAACTGATGTAGTTTTTATAAAATTTTAAAAAAATCCGAATAATTAAATACAGTGTTCCTCTACATGTATATACAGTCCCATTGAGTCATTATACATTAAATATAGGTGATTTGTCACGTAATCATAACAAATAATTTGGAATTTAGGGTTTGATATATAAATCCAAAACCAAAATTGTTAAGAGTGACCTCGCGTTCGAATATTCATTTTATGGTACTGAAGAATTCACGATACAAATTCCAAATTCTAATATGGAAATTATATATCGTCAGCTAATAGAAATTTCAACTTGAAAAAAAATTACTGTGTATTTGGTATTATATGTATATAGATATATGTATGTATGCATATCTTTTATACATATATATACATATATGTAAGTATGTCCAAATTGGTTAAAGGAGAATTAGAGGAACCAATTTGGACAATAATCGAATAATTAATTCGATCCGAACCAAATAATACATCTAATTAATCAAACTGAATTCGATATACAAATTGAATAACTAGTTATAATTTCTGTAAAATCGAGAAATCCAAATCCGAACGGAATCGAATAAAAAGAATAATCGAAAAACCCAAAAAAATATTTGAAAAATAAGTATTTTTATAGCTAAAAACCTAATAGAACCCGAACCAAAATATAACCGAAATGAATTCAATATAAAAACTATATATATATAGTTATATTTTTTTCTAAAATTCGAATCCGAATATAACCGAAAATGAACCGAAATTGATTGACCAATAAAGGCGATGGAAAACATGTTGAGCATGTCCGAAGCAAAAAAAGTCGGAACATATCATGTGGTGAATGGGCCTCTTAGGCCGCAGCGGAGGCAACATGTTTCAACATGTCCCATTTTTCAAAATTCCAAGTTGCAAATTTATTTATTTATTTATAAATATGGATATTTTCTTTCAACTATCATCAATACATACAAATTCAATCAAATATACAAACTACATTTATATACATATATATATATATATATCATTATTAGAATATACAATTATTCATACAGAAATTTTGTTAGGTGATGGAGATATTAGCCCAATAACAAGACCCATATAGTAAGGCCTCGTTATATTTTTTTATAGCCCATAAAAAATTATGTTATTGTTCGGCCAATTCAATTGAGCTTCGAAGTGAAAATTATCCACGTGGTCAAAACCCAATCTTACATATATTTTTGCAATGATAGTTAAAGTTGACAAAACTTTGAATTAGACCGGATTCCCATTTGGGTTCGGTTATTTCGGTATTAAAAAAAATTATAATTATTACGGTTGTTTCGGATTCAATTTTTTCGATTTTAGAGAAATTTGGTTTTGTTAAGTTATTCGATTCGATTATTCGGTTATTAATCAAACTTATTATTATTTTGTCTAAATTGGATAAAGTTTTATGTTTGTGAGACAATCCTATAGAGACAGCTTCTGAATATTGGAAATCTAACACGTGCTGAATTTGGGGGGTTTTCAATTTTCCAAATTCGGAATCTAATTATATGGTTACTATTTCTGCATTTTCCACGTGGAAAATTGATAGCCCACGTGGCCGGATTTGACACACACCCCTTGGGTTGAAAATTTCAATTAGATAACTAATGAATGGTGGATAACGAACTGGCGAACCAAAGGTTTTATCTTTTATGCACGTGTGTGTGTATATATATATATACACACATTAAAATATAGTTAGACATGTTATCATATAATTATAACTAATTATCGGATTTAAAAATAGCATTCTTATCAAAATGGATAAAATTTAGGGTTTTGAGATAAATTTCGATAATTGACTTTGTTTGATTTCCGTTTTTGGTTTCCAAATTAATATACATATTTATGCGTAAAAATATTAGGGTTCGACTGGTTGTACCGCAGCGGTTGCGGTTGCGGGTGGTGACGTTTTCAAAGCGTTTGATAGCGATTATGAACGATTAGTACTGACTGGTTGATAAGTTATTGTTGACAGCGATTGCGGGTAGATGCGGTTGGAAGTGAATGGTTCGTTGTGGTTGCGGTTGCGTTTGATATAAATTATGAAAAAAATATTATTTTAATTTTTTTTTATAATAGTTTAAATTAAAATTTTAATATCATTTGATAAAAATTATTTAATAATAAATTTAAAATATAATTATTATCAATTTAATTTATTTTTAAGTAAAAAAATAATTTTTGAAAACTCGATATCCTCTCTTCTCTGCCCTGCTTCTTCATTTAAAGAGATATGCATGAGTGAACGTCATTTTCTTTGTCGCTGGAGCGGCGCAAAACACGCGGAGTTTGTCGGACAACTCGTCGAAGAAGACAAAGGGGCGGCTGTACAAGGTGCGCTTTTATTTACTTTATATATATATTATACTATATCATATATATATAGATATATATTTATTAATACATATGTATATTATATACACATGTACGTACTATATGTATACAATTATATATACACAGAAGAAATATACACATACATATGTTCATATATATATATAATATACACATGTATATATTATACGTATAAATATCCATATATATATAATCATTAATATATATATATATATATATATATATATATTAGTATTTTATATATTTTTTAATAATGATATTTTAGTTTTTTTTAAAACACCTGAAATCGCTACCAAAACGCAAGTTGGGAGCTACGATTAGAAAACACAAGTTTGGTTGTTAGTGCGGGTGATTGTGGTTCAACCAATCAGTTTTTCAATCGTCCGCAATCGCCAAAAATCGTAACCGCTCTGTTTGCGGATGGCGGCAGTGCAACCAATCGCCCCTTTAGTAGCGACCAAACTAAATAAAAGAAAATCAATAAGATCAGAACCATTCATAAAATTCCATTTTTTAAACAAGAAAAGGAAAAAAATAAAATAAAGTCGGCAGCCAAATTGAAAAACGCATGTTGTCAATTTGCTCATTCAACGCATAAAAGCGACACCGCCGAATTTCGTTTCAATGGAAATTCCCAAAATTAATTAATAAAAAAAAAATATTTTCGGCCCATAATAATAATAGTAAAAAATAATTTAAAAAACAGCATTTAACACGTTGAGGTCCTAACCAAAAGTCGCCGCCATTATATAATATAGCTTGTATATTAAAACTGTGTTCGGTTCCCCGTGTCGGCCCCGTGTAATTCACGTCTCTCTTTTTCCTCTTATATATAAGGATCTATTTCCACATATATATATATATACACACCTCCAAGCATATATATATATATATCCGCTTAAGCATTTACTTACATCTATACGTACACGAATCTTCTCTTCTTGACGAAAATGGAGAGGAACTACTGCGACTTGGAACTTCGTCTTCTTTCTTCGTCTTTTGATTCTGATTCCATCAGCTCGTAAGTCTCTCTCTCTCTCTCTCTCTCTCTCTCTCACTCTCTCTCTCTATCTATGTATGTGTATATATATATATAGAGAATGTATATGCACAAACATGTGCAGGGTTTGTTTCTTGAAAAAAAATCGAAATTGAAATGAAAGATATATACAGCATGTCATGTGCATTGAATTAAGCATATACATGGATGCATGCATGTATAAATATAATATATGTATGCGTGTTTTTTGGTGACCAAATATGCAAATTACACAATACTCCATGGGACCATTTTACTCATATGATCGACTTGTATCGCAGTAATTTCACGGGTACACTTCAAAAAACATAACACATTAAATTCTCTTCGAAAAGACCATATTACCCTTAATGAAACCGGATAATTTGCCCATTCAAAAAGAAATTGTAATTGCGATATCATAATTAATTCTAAATACAGTTGCAATTGGTTTTAAATGACGTGGCAAAAAATACATATTTCAAATTTAAAAAATAACTATATTTTTGTTAGACTTTCACTTAGTATACAATCATAAATACTTGTTTTAGTCGTATACTAGTTATATAACAGTCGCAATAAAAATCGTAAAAAATATGAAAGAAAGGTTATTTCGTACCTTTCGAACGAAAAAGTTGTATAAAATTGAAAAAAAATTACTTTTTTTAATAGTATACCTGAGAAATTGCTGCAACCCAAATGGGTCATCTAGTGAAATGCCTTATTTCATGGTCATTAACCATATATATATATATATATATATATATATACACACACACAATACTTATGGTTGTATATTCAATTTGATTTTTGAAGGACGATGGAAGAATCAAAGAGCTCAATAAAGGAGGAAGAATCCCAGAGAATGACAATTTTCTACAATGGAAAGATCATTTGTATCTCCGATATTACACATCTTCAGGTACACATACATATATATATATATACACATACATATATGTACACACATTTACTTGCATTGATTTATTCCTTATAGCTAGCAAACTCCTAATTCAACATTTTATTAAATGTTTCCAAATAATTTACACAAGTTTAATAATTTAATCAATCGTTATAAATAAACGCAGGCTCAAGCCATAATATCATTAGCGAATAGAGGAATGGAAAAGAGATCATCATCAAGATCAAGCCCATCTCCTCATCATCATCATGATCATCATCATGACCATCATCATCATCGTCATCATGGTCATCATCCGTTGATGTCTCTCAAAGGATATAATTCCGTTGGTCCGACGAAAAAATCTCTCCAAAGGTTTCTCCAAAAACGAAGAGACAGAATTCAAGCCACGTGCCCTTACAATACATAAATATCATATTGTAAAAATGCGTATAGATGATAGTCCGAATTATTTTTATTTTTGAACCATTTTTGTTTTTTTATTTTTCTCTTTTGGAACGACTTTTTCTTGTAAATTAAAGAGTTGGAATTTTGATATTGATTTGTTGGCACTTTTGGTTTCTATTATTTGGGCCTTTATTGGGCTATAATCGTCGTTATGTATTGAAGCTTTGGGACCAAAGGCCCATAAGAAAATATTTTGAGCCCATTAATGACCCATCAACGCAGAAAAATAAAAATATGGTTAATTAATAAATAAGTAATTAAATAAGAGGAAAAAGAGGTTAAATTAGTTAACGGAATACATGAAATTTTCTCTCTCTCTAATTTCACCGCATATTAAAGATAAAAAAAAAAAAAATTCTGAATGTTTTTTATTTTTAATATTTTATTTTATAGATTGATTAATTTTAAATGATTGAAATAATTTATTTTTATTTTTTTTTTCATTACATGGATATGGTCGAGTTTTATATTTACGAAGAAGAACCGAAATATATATCCATCCTATTTAAGATGTTTCCGTCGACTACTTATTCATTCATTCAACCCCTTATTTTGTTCTTTTAGAATTTTAAAATTTTTTATTTTGAAAACTTAAATCTTTGTTTCCCATATTCTTCCTGCATTTAAATATTCACATACTCTTGTTTTCTAAATTAATTCATCTCCTCTCTCTCTCTTTATTCTCTTGAATCTTTTCTCTCTTGCGGTCCACAATAAAATTTTCTTGGTTTCCAATTAGATACTTTAATTCTTTTTTCGTTCCTAACTACTTTTAACTTTGCTCTCAATATATATATATATATATATATATATATATATATATATATATTCTAAAAAAAAAACAC